TGCTTCCCAGGTACGTGAAAGATTTCACATCTTCCACAGTTTATTCTTCAAGGGTGATTGACGTGATCCTCTCCGCGTTATATTTGAGAATCTTGCTTTTTCCTTTATGTATGTTGAGGCCTACTGATACAGGGGCCGCTACTACACTAGTTGTCTTCATCTTCATTTGTTCAGGTATACAGGATAGAATGGCCAGGTCATCTGCGAAGTCCGAATCTTTTAATTGATTCAGAGATGTTCATTGTATTCCGTGCTCCCCCTCCGATTTGGAGGTCTTTATAATCTAGTCGACCCCCAGAAGAAAGAGGAAGGGGGAGAGTAGACAGCCTTGTCTGAATCCGGTTATTACTTGGAATGCATCTGTCAGCTGTCCTCCATGCACAACATCGCGCTATAGTCCATCGTATGAATTCCGGATGATGTTGACAATCTCAGGAACTCCACAGTGTCGACGAAGTTTCTATAATGTTCTTATATCCACACTCTCAAACGCCTTCTCATAGTCAATGAAGTTTATGTATAGTGACGAGTTCCTGGTATATCCTGTGGAGATTTATGAATGGTAACTTTGAGAACTATTTATTTATTAATATGATATATATACATCCTATTGTATAATTGTTTATTGACTAAACTATTCATATTCGTGTTTCTCTTATTATAAGCTTTATTTTGACCTATAGACTATTATTATATGACTTACCATTCTTGAGCTATCCCTAGTCCATTAATTACTGCTCCCCCTATTCACAGCCCCTTTTGGCCAAATCTTGTACAAAGTTATTTTCTATTTTATGGTACGATGTGGTCAGTTTGTTTGGTAGGTAAACCCAGTATGTTTGACAATAATGATGCATATTTCAGAGGCTGTTATTGATGTTCTGGACTTAACTGGCTGGGCTAGGCAGAAAGCAAGACTGCTCATACGGCTTTTGTGTATCATTGCTCTGATCGACAATTCACTCCTCTCTAATTGGCGGGGATCATCACGTCATATATTAAACAGGGCACGCACCCAAGCGACCGAAATAACAACTGGCGACGGGGTAAAAAGGAAAAAATCGATACAACAGTTTCATTCAACTGACTGTCCCACGATTATCCGTAGTGTCGCGATTTGGTCTGTGAACGACCAATCCTTACAGAATCCAGCCTATTGATCTCGAAGTTGGGCGTCTACTGAGTCTTTCATCAGGTTCGGGAACATTCTGTTGAAAACTCATCCTGGTACTGACAACAGTTTGATGCCTCTGTAATTCTCACAATCGCTCAGGTCTCCTGTCTTTGCTATCTTTATGAGGTATCCTTCTTTCCAGTCCATTGGCACTTGTTCTTCCGCCCAAATCTACTTGAATAGGTGAAGCATATTCGCAGTTACTTCAGTGTTTAAGCTGGTTTATTGTCAGGTCCCGCTGCTTTCTAATTCTTGATTTGTCTGATGGCCATCCTGGTTTATTTGATTGTTGGTGGTGTGACAGCTATGGGATGGTCTGTGTTTGGTGCTTTGATGTCCGGTGGGTTCAGTGGCTAGTCGGTTCAACAGTTCCTCGAAGTATTCTGCCCACCTGTCCCTCTGTTATTGAATCTCCGCGATTGTTTTTACTTCTTTGTCCTTGACTGGTTTCTCTGGTTTACCATATCTCCATGCTAGTTTCTTCGTTGTATCATATAGTTTTTTTTATATTTTCTTTTCTTTCAGCTTTTTTCCATCGTTGTTGCTAGTTCTTACATGTATTTCTGCTTGTCGGCTTTAATGCTCTTCTTGACTTGTTTGTTTGATTTTGCAAACTCTGCTTGTGCCTTGACTTTCTCTGCTCGTGTTCGAATGTTATTAATTGCTGTCTTCTTGTTCTTCCTTTCTTCAATCTTATCTAGGGTGTTCATAGAGATCTATCTCTCATGATTATGTTTGTGCGACCCAGAACCCCCTGACGCATTGCAGCTGATGCTTTTTTGATTCCTTTTCAGTTGTCCTTCATCGTAAACTCTTGTTCTTTCAGTAGATAGTGTAAGGCTTGGAACCTGTTGTTGAGAGTGATCTTGAATTCGTTGCGTTTGATAGTAATTAATAGGAAGGCTGTATTAAACATTTGTAATGCTGTTTCCCCAGCTGTCTATTGTTTCTTTAGCTTCAATTTCGTTCATCGTCGTGTACAAATCAAGATTTTGTAGACAACAGAAGCATACTTCGGCTTTTAACTATTTATGTACTTGAAGGCATTACTTCAAAACCATAAACTTCTAACAATTAGAATAAGGCTGCGATTGTTTAATTAAGGGTTACTTTAGGTTGTCTAAATGCTCCAAACAAGTAATGCCAGAAAGACTGTGTACTGTTGCTCGTAAATTTATACCAACTAAGAATCTTAGAACTAGATGACCCGAGTAAAATGAAACCAAGTTGAAAGAAGAGCTGGATGAATTATATATACACCCTACATTGTGAAAATCCTTCGATTAAAGAATCATCGAAAAGTCAGGTTTCAAAAACAAATAAAACCGGTATTTGCATGGTAAAGTAAGGTTTATTGGTTGCATTTTAAGTTTTATACACTGAAGTTTTTGGTTCGTAAATAAACACTATGAACTTGGAAAGCTGATGAACAGTCTGAGTCTAGCTACTGTTTTTTTAAAAATGTAGTCTGTTTCTTACTTAAAAGCAACACTAGTATGTACAAAATATACCACTTTTCAGTGTAATAAAGTTATAAATTGCAAGGATAACAAATTGATGCTCTTTGTAAGTGATCAAATCCAACAATCGTAGTTTACTTCTTTAGCACGCCAGCAGCACAGTGGTGAAGCAATTACATGTGAGTTCAGCTGTCTCCGTCATATATTCGTAAATAGGATAGTCTATTTATGTTCATTGTATTCAGCTGGAGACGTTTCACATGGAGTCATTACAAAGTAGAGTAAGAGAAGCCTTACCACACTATCGGTTTACACAATCTAACGACCGTCCAACTGATATTAACAGTCATCGAAATACTGCAAATAATCATGTATCCTGCCATTATACATCATGTTGATTGGTGAACCTGTGATTCTTGACTCAATAACTTAGTTGCACAAAAATCAGTACACATATGGGGATCAGGATATAGCAATCGACGCAGTTTGAGTGCATTGCAGTAAACAGTTTATTAAGTCTAGAATTTCATGCTTAGGAAGGAACTAGGAGAATTCGAAATTTAGTGTAACTCTGGAAAATGAGTTGGAGAATATTTCGACGAAGGAAGGCATGAAGTTAAAGATATTTATCCACAGAAAAACTGGTAAAAGGTGTGTTGCCTCAACAAAGAATTCAGGGTCTACTTAATTATTTATTCCAAGTAAGACAACGACACATGTTTCTAGATGGATTGTAACATTTCCAGACGGCAATAAAGTATGCAAAACTATGGATATTAGAGGCGGCAAAATAATTGCATAATGGATTTGATAACCTGAATGAATAGGAATATAGACAGTTATTTGAAAGGAGAGCAAAACTGTTGCCACAGGAATTTGGAAGAACAGATAATATCACCATAAGATAAACGTAATTACAATGATTAGGGTTGATAAGCGACATTGTATTTGAACTTTAAAGATTGAACAGTAATTTTGTACGTACGTTCTCGATTTTCTTGCTTAGAATCCATTATTTATAGCACTCAATTAAAGTCTGGAAACTAAAACAGAATGACTTCTGTTTCTTGCACAGAATTTTAGATCCTGAAAATTGGCTAACGAAACACGCGTTACAAGTGGTGTATTCAAGGTGAAATTGAATATATGCACCATTCATTTGCGTTACTTACGTAGGCTGCATGTGTTTTAATCATTACCGACGTAGTTTGATCCATACAAAACCCTACTAGTGATAAAGTTGTAATGAATCAGACAAGTCTTCAATTAAGAATATACTTCTAGGCTGACTTGATAAAAGAGCCATGAAAGCCGAGCAAATAGTCGATTTCATGGAAACACACACATTCAAGAATATAGCAAAAGCCAAATAAAAAGAAATGATGCCATTGAATTTCAGATGAGATCAAAACGTTTTATCAAAATCGAAATAATACTAGGAAGATTATTGATTAAGGAAGTAACAGGTGATGACTTAAATACTATAGTGCGTTTATGAACAAAATACAGTTTTCATATAGACTTACAGTGATAAAAGCGTACTCCAAGAGAAGATTGGTGATATCGGCTAGCATCAAGAAATACATCTACTCGAATAGCCAAACAGATTTCTCCACGAATTCCATGCATAGTGTCATATATTGGAAACCAACCGTTTAAACATCTGGTTTGGCCGCGACTCAGTAGAGGATTTAAATCAAAGTAAACTCTTCCGATGGTATCATGTGCACTATAAGTGTCATGATCCATAACTCTAATTATAAGAAATAAAAATCTAATAGCTACAAACTTTAGTAGTAACGCCTCGTCTTGTAGAGCCCGGTCATCCAACTGCGAACTGAAAAAATTAAAAAAGACAGGTACCTCAAAGCAGAACCATTCACTATTCCACGAAGGATTGAGAGAACGACGGACTACTTCTGTTTTATAAGTTATGCTTCCGATACACAACTGTAACTATTAAGGATATCGAACTCTGTTTACTTCAACAAAAGCATCTGTAAGGAATGTAGCTCTATCCATAACTGGCAAATTTCTTGCTGATATAACTCGCACTTTTACTGTTCCAGGCATTCTTTTGAATCGCACATTTGTAAGTTAACCTTGATGTTTAAAATCGCGCTTAGAAAAGTCCTCTTAAAAGAGAACTGAAAAACCACTTCGTGCTACTTCATTTTATTATAAAAATGATGATGACTTATAAAAATTCATTGATCATTCTCCTTGATGGTTAAGGATCACTTAATAAGATTTTGACATCGACCAATAAACGTTGTCGTTTGGACGCATCATTAGTACATAATTTTCGCAATAGCACTTTATTCGTTATTGGACGTATAAATCACTTTACAAAAGAGCTCCTCCCTGATAAGGGAGAATATTATGAATCGATGTCCAAACAGAGAGAAAGTCCTTCTTAATTTGAAGTGGTTTGTTAATCGTTTTATAAAATCATTTGAATCCAAATTAATACAAACAATCTCATATGCTTCAAACAGTTGTGTCCAAAGCCCTTCTGGGTCTTCAAATGTTTCATCACCAACTTTGTCAGCGTCCAAAGTGACTATTAGAAATGAAAATGTTTCTAGTGATTTACCTTTTATTCGACGTTTGCTTGATCAACAAATAAAGTGTGGAAATAAACGTTTAAAAAATGAAAGTTCTTATTCTTCTCGGGATATAAGTGTTCAAAATACTGATCAAAAACAAACATATCATTCACCTTTGATGAAAATTCGTTCCTTAACTAACTCACCACTGTTCCGTCGGCTGTCTTTCACACTCAACAATAATAAACGCCAGTCTTTATTGTCTCAAGATGAAAAAAATGATTGGATAAAAAATCATTCTGACTTTGATGAACCATGTGAGTTCGTAAGACGTAAACCAAATATACCTGATGTAACCATTACTAGAAAATGTTATTCAAATGCTCAGAGTCCATCTGGTACACCATTTGAACAAAATGTTAGCAACACATATAGAGGACCTTTATTCCGACTTGCTGAATTAACTACTGAATCACAAAGGTTTGCAATTCTATCAGTCTTCGCACAACAACTATGCATTATATATGAATATCAGCTTGGTATGTTGAGAAACTTACCTTCAATACATGCTGCGGCGGATTATGTAGCTGATGTAGTAATAAGAGCTATCAAATTAAAGAAGATTTCAGGGATAAATTCACGAACTTTAACTCCATTGATTCTGTTTGACAATGAATGTCGACCAAGTACCTATAATAAAACTGTAAAAACTCTACCCTTAACTGTTACTGGAGAACAAATGTCATGGAAACTGGGTGAAATATGGACACTTCCTGGATTAAGGCATAACGAAGTTGGTGGTGAAAACTGTCACAATCTTAGTATAGTAACACATTTTCTTTCTACAGTTACTCCAAGTGGAGAATACAGTAGATCTGATATATATGGTTACAGAAATTTGATTTTACTGACTAATGAGAAAAATACTGAAACAATAAATAATTCGAATTGTTATATTTATGACACTAATTGTCCATCAGTGGAAGAATCTTTTTCATTAAAATCTGATGTTTATCATAGTGATAAAATGAATTCATATTTTACTATTTCTTCTTTTGATTATGCTACTATATCAAGTAGTAAAATTAAACCTGGAAATATTCCTGATCCATCATCATCAGATGATTCACTTACTGAGGAAAATCCTCAGAGCACTAAACGAAATGATGACAACAAGAGTTCATCTCAAAGTAGTCCAGAAAATAAAATCAAAGAATCATCGAGACGAATTCATTCATCAAGTAGTGTAGTAATGCTGCGACAACATTTACATCGTGCTTATCGACCTGTATTTTTTCTTATTTATAATCGTCCTAGTGTTATTGAACACTTAACAGAATGTGATTCATTTGCATCATTTTGTAAACGTCAAGCTTTAAGTCCTGTAATGTTTTTAAATCAACCAACAACACTTTTCGATAAAAAACCATATCCATGTATTTATCAAAATTTTGATTTATTTAAAGTATCTGTTGCAGGATATTTATCACCGAATGAATGTGATATTTCAACAGATTTAACATATTTAAATAATAACAACAATACTACTAGTAGTAGTAATAATAATATGAATAATAAAAATGATACTTTATCATCACATGTCATACAACACCAACAACAACAACAAATCAAAGAAGGATATAATTATGGTAAAAGCCTAATGCATTTTCCTTATTTCCCTTCACATCGAAGTATAGCAGCGTATGATAATCCTGGATTTGCCCGGTAACTGATTAGATAAATAAATAACTCCCATATTACAAAATAAATGTATAAAAAGCTATTCCATGTATGCAATTAATCGTTTCTTTTTTTATAAAATAACTAGTTCATTCTTATTATTTTGTATCATAATGGTTCTGTGTAATAAAAAATAGTAACCAATGGAAATATTGTTACTTAGGAAGAGAATATGAATATATATTATAACCATTATTTGCTAATTGAATTTTTTATGATGTTTTAAACGAACTGAATGAATAGAGTAAATATATTACTATTTAAAGTGATTAACAAAAAAAATTTCATTGTTGAAATCATGAGTCAATTGAAGCTAGACAACCATGGAAGACTTGGAAGCACTAGATGGCCGGTTTCGTCCTATTATGAGAATCCTCAGCGAAAGTGTGCATCTATGATCCCGCCTCACAAGATTCGAACCCAGGACCTAACAGTATCGCGCCAGAGGACTTAACCGATAGACCACTGAGCCGGCGTGTCAATGTCTAACTTCAACCAATCTACGAAACGGCCATCCAGTGCTTCCAGGTTTTTCCATTGTGGTCTAGCTTCAATTGACTCATGATTTCAATTATAAAAATACTGAAATCTCCACGAAACCCCTTCTGATCTATAACAAAAAACTGTATAGGGAATATGTTTATATAAGTAAATTTAGTGATGCAATCAATACTTACAACTAGGAGTTATCTGTGTTTTTAATCTATTAATATTTTCAAGAATTTACTAGGGATTCTTATTTCATCTTAATCATTTATCTTTAAATTATTAGTCAAAAACATCAGTTTCACTTCGAAATGTTTCATCTTCCTAATGGGTAAAGTTAAACAAATGATTGTTTATACGAAGAATGGTTCATTTTTGAATTGAATAGAAGAAGGTGGACAATGATAACTAATAACCTATATAGAAGTAGATTACTTTTGAATTTACGATAATCAAAGTGATGAAATCTATCATCACTTTTCAGTGTATATTTAACAATTAGTTAAATGGGCATTATATTATAGAGTAATATCCTCTCCTATCCTACAATCCACTGTTCTCTCACTCATTTACAGAATGAGCTAAATGTATATACGTCATTACATTTAATTGTATGATCATATAACTGAGATGTAACTTATTTGAGTTGGTAAACTATCAAATTGTTAAAACGAAAACATCATTTTCTTTGTATCATATTTCTAAAATGATTCTAGAAATAAGTGAATATATGATAAACAATAACTCTTCTAGAATTCCTGCCGGTCCCAAGCCCGGGTAAAGGAGGAGGGTTGGGCATGGAGTTAGCGACCTCATCCCGTAGAAAAACTAACTCGCTAAATAACGCTAATCATTGGATCTTCTTCTACTTAGATGAGTATTAAAATAATTAATAAAATATTAAACTGTATAAGGTTATTCACTTAGTATTGTTTGTTTGAATCTTCCCATTGATTCTTAGGACTGAAACTGATCAGTTTCTTATTGGCATAGGTGAATACGCGCGTCCTGGATTCCACTGCTGGCCACTATTCATCTTTGCTTATAATGTACAAGGTTGTCTAAAAACTTTTAAGTATATATATATAATCTGGAAAATTTCGGTTTTCATTACGACACACTTCAAAAGTTATAATAATTATTAATAATAGCTTTATTCAATATTATATTTTTGGTACAATATCGAATTCTCAGCACAAAGTATTTCAATAAGTTTCTGTTCCGTACTTGTTGGTCGATCCCGATGATAAATATTGACTGATCACCAGTTACATGTTAGCAGTTCAGTAAATTGACATCAAAATAATGTACATTCGTTTTGCTGCATATTGCCAGAAACCACGATATCTGTGATTGGGCCTTTTGTAACTTGTACAACGAAAGGTTGTGCACTTTTCTGAGACTCACCTGAATAGGTTATGTGATTAATAGCCATAATGATATATTAAAACAAAGAAAATTAGATAAATTGTTGAAATATCTAGATGACAGGAACAGGTAGCCTAGATGTTCAAGCATGCCGCCATAATTAGAGTTTGGTGTAACAAAATAGTATCTATACTAAACAAATAATTATAAACTTATAATCAATGATTATTATAGTCTTTTGAAAAGTGAATTTTGTTTTATAAATGCATGATATCCTGACAAGAATTATGAAAGGTAACTTTTGTGAACGGTATCGGATTGATATACCTTGTTAATTATTTCATAATTTTATAAAGTACCCAAAACCTACTAAGATAGTCTGGTTTATGTAAGAGATCCTCTTTTCAATTCTAATTATATTTTTTCATTTCCCTGTATTTACTGGAGCATGTACATCGAGGGAACATTTGCTATGGATACCAATTATGTAATAAATCCAATTACAGGACTATAAATAATCAATAGATTGATTCAAGACTTATTAAAACATTCCAAACAAACAATTGTGATTCCTTAAATCAGTACCAAAGTACGTTGGCAAGATGGGTTTTCATCACTTCTACAACTTCTCTAGTGATCTGATAATACTCTCTGATAACTCTGAATAAATACATTGTTGAACTTTATAGACAATCTTCACATATTCCAACAACTTCAACTAAATAGAAATAACATCTGTATTGTCAATTTTCTATCGATGAGTTTCCAGTTCCATTATATTTTTGATTTTCATACTTAGTTTCATTATTTCTTTCATTAACCTATAAACATTGATCCCATTGTTGATATTGTTATCCAGCACTTGACATAATCTTAGAACTCTCAGAACATAGTAGACTGATATTATTATCACGGATATTTTTTATTATTAAGATGATTTTACTATTATTTACTCCACAGCATTGCTGAGGAGTCCCATAATATGATGAAACGACCGTCCAGTGCTTTCAGGTTTTCTCTGATGGTCTAGCTTCAATTGACTCACGCTTTCAACTATGAAAATATTATTTACTTAACTAACATGAAATTGCACATATCCTGTGTGATTAAGTAACAATTTCTCTCACATAATCTGTTCTCACAAAAAAACTGAAGTTATGGGACTGTGGGAAATAGTTATAAGTGTTTTTCATCAGTAAAATTGAAGTGCTTGTTAAATGTTTCATATCAGGTTTTGGTTGCACAATATTCTATACACATAAACTAGTGTGTTATACTTTACAAACTTTTATCAAGAAAAGTGATTGAAAAGACTTCAAAAGGGGTTCTGTGGAGAATTTAGTATTTTCATAGTTGAATCACGCGAGTGCGGGATCATGGATGTGCGCTGCTGAGGAGTCCCGTAATAGGACGAAACAGCCGTTAAGTGGTTCCAGGTTTTCCATGTTGGTCTAGCTTCAATTGACTCATGATTTAAACTATGAAAAGACTTCAAGCATAATGATTTCAACTAATTATGTAACGATCTATTAATAGAAAAAATGTAACATTGATCTGAATGATTCAACAAAAAAATAAATCATGGATATACTGAAGAAACCTCGAAGAAGGAAAGACTATTGGTAACTGTATAGACAATGATCTGATCGCTCGTGAATGTTATTTGATTTATATGTATGGTTTACTAAAAATTTATAAACAGGATAATCTGCTAAGGTTTAATTTTTTGATCAGTGATATACTTTTTCATAAATTTTCACACTGCCTAGCTTGGAAGTCACAATTTCTTATATATATATATATATATCAAAACAATTGTCATCCAACACCAAGGTTAGAATTTTAGATACAAATGTCAAGACAGTTCTACTGTATGGGGCGGAAACCTGGAGAACAACGAGGGTCATCGTACAGAAGATATAGCTGTTAATTAACAGTTGTCTAAGCTAGATACTTGAAATCCGTTGGCCAGATACTATCAGCAACATTCTACTGCGAGAGAGAACAAACCAGATTTCAGTGGATGAAGAAATCAGGAAGAAGCGTTGGAAGTGGATAGGACATACATTGAGGAAATCACCCAACTGCGTCACAAGACAAGCCGTCACATGGAATCCTGAATGTCAAAAGAAAAGAGGAAGATCAAAGAACACATTACGCCGAGAAATGGAGACAGACATTAGAAGAATGAACAAAAGTTGGATAGAACAAAAGGTGAAGTCCCAGGACAAAGTGAGTTGAAAAATGTTGATCAGCGGCCTATGCTCCATTGGGAGTAACAGGCGTAATTAAGTAATATATATATATATATACATTAAAATCATCTATTTCTGGCTATTTACACTATTGCTTGTTTGACTTTACCTCTTTCGTTGATTATAAGTGAAAAGAAAACAACAAACTAAATAGCTTCAGGCATTACTAAATTGATGAAATAAGATCAATTTTGAAATTTTCCATGATTTTCATTATTATCATTATGATTATTCCACTTATCTTTCTTTTTCTCATTAAGCATTTAAACTGGATACAAGATTTTGTATCATTGAGGCAACAAAAAATAAAATAAACAAAGGGGAAACAAATGATACAGATGACAAGGAAAAAAAAACACAACACAACAACTTGCAAACATCTTTTGTAAATAATAATAATGAAAATTGCTTCCGGGACCACAATAATCACTGTCTGAATCGGCATATATATATTTACATAATGTTTCTGTTCGAATCATCATAGCAACAAAGATGTAGTAACCAGATAAATAAGATAATATAATACCTACTAGTAACCAATTTTATTTTCTTATTATTTCTAAATTGAAAAACTGTAATGGTCAATTCTAAATTATTATAGACAAAATTTCTGTAAGTAGAATGATTTTACCAACAACAACAAAAAAATATTGTTGAAAGTATAGTAACTAAGTAAAAAAAAAACATATAAGAATGAAGAAATAAGTAATGATAAATATTAAAATAGATAACAATAATAATCATTTGAAGTAGGATAGAAACAATAATGATGTTAAAAAGGGGGAACATAAAGAGAGAAAGAGAGAGAGAATTACTTGGTTCTATATTTATATAATAGTTAAACAACTCATCATTTTGTAAGAAGAAGAAGAAGAAGAAGAAAGAGAAGAGAGAATAGAAGGTTAGACCATTTGAGAATTGATTTTAACTAATTATCTTCCTTCAACTAAATGAATAAACGATAAAGTAAATGGTAATACTTTATGGAAAAAAAAGGTTTGGTTAGAGGATAAAATTGATAACGATTTATTGGTTTGTATATATATATATATATATATATAAAGAAGTCATCATGAGTCATTTATTCATTTTGATGATGGAGTGAAATTTTACAGATAAGAAGGAGAAAACAAAAGCAAAACAGTTATTGATCTTGATAAGGAACTAGTAATCCATTGGAAACTAAGCATTATTATAGAAGTTGATAGTTGATGTCTGTTGTCATGAATTGTGTAAAGTTGGAAATTCGGAATGGTGATTTAATAGTTTTGTATTTACGATGAGATCTGACGATTTTGAGTTCCAGTTCCAGTTCAGTTTATGAGTACACTCTGTTGAGGAATTCTGAGATAAAATAAGACAACTATTAGTTGCCCTGTGATTTTCACTGTTTCAGTAGTTGTGAATGAATGATTTTGACGAGCTCCTTAGCTTACGTGATCTTTTTCTAGGAGTATAATGTTTTGTTGTTATGTTCTATTGTCATCCGAGTGTAATCCTGACATTTGCGTTTCTTATATATGTACTCAAACTAGTCAAGTGAGAAAACTAAGAGTAAATAGGAAGACTATTGGATAACTGAACTGAGAATATGTGGACGACGCATTTATAAATGTATACGCATATGTTTCAGAAATTTAAGCGACATTTTCTACAAACAGTGTATCTGTTTCCTAAAAATTGATACCGAATCCTGCCGAGTAGTGTGTGAACGTCATTATCTGTCACTTTTCATTTCGCCTACATCTGGTCAGCTGAGTGTATCATTAGTCATGTAAATGTTTGAGTGACGAAAGTATTTTCTGTCAGAAAGGTCATGTTGGATGTTGTATCCCGAAGAGAATTGTGAATGGTAACTTTTGGGGACCAATGTAATAGGTCTATTTCCTATTGTATAGTTGTTACGTAACGTTCCTCTTATCATAAGTTTTATTTTGACCTTTGACCTATTATTATACGATTCTTGAGTTATCATCAGTCTATTGTTTACTTTCCCCCTATTCACAGCCACATTTGGCCAATTATTGTACAACTGTTATTTTCTATTCTATGGCACGATGTGGTCTGTTTGGTTGGTATATAAACCCGGTATGTTTGTGAATAATGATTCATGTTGCAGAGACTGTTATTGGTGTTCTGTACTTAGTTGGCTGGGCTAGACAGAAATCAGGACTGACAAGTAATCAAGACTGCTCGCACGATTTTATGTAATCATTTCTCCGATCGATAATTCGCTCCTCTCTTAATGACGACGATCAGTACGTTCATATGTCAAACAGAGCACGCACGCATTCACGTGCACGATATAACAGTGGACGATATGATAGACGATAATGGTGAAGAAGTTAATAATAAATATATACTGATAACCAGTGAAGATAAATGGAAATTGTATTCTCGAAGTAACAAGAATCGTCCAAAAAATTGCTTAACAGAATTTATGAACAACGATAAAGTTAAGTAAATAATTTAAAATAAATTGTCCACTTCGAGAAGACCAATAGAGTCGTCTTTAGAATTTATCTCAGGTTGTCTGAAGTAGTCGTTCAAATCTAAACATTATAAATATATATACGCATATTGTCGTGAATGCTACTTATGTCGACATAAGCAGTATCTAACGCTAGTCAGGAATATAATGTCTGGTAGTAGAAGATCGTGAGGATCGAGAAGGAAAGAGTGGGAACAGAAAGTAATTGGTATGGAAATACAGGAGCAATGAAATTTGAAACAGTTAATGAATATTTTCCAAATGAAGTATTCACTGTATGGTTCTCAGATTTTAGTAAGATGTTCTGTAATTTTGGGATGAAATGCATTAGTTTGTCACCACTTTTATTCTCGTTCATTACAACACAGGACAAGTACCAAATTTACAATCTATTTTACCTTATTATCACTTTGTTTGATTCGTAAAATTTGTTACCTTTCACGGTGTAATATGCGATTTATAATGTATAATTGAACTGTAGCTAGTTTTGTATGATACATTTTTGGGAGCCAACTATTCTTATGGGTAGTGTGTTTCATCCGATATCATTAACACTCAGTAGGCTGATTGCATTAAGCTGTTCATGTCATGCAATCGATAATCGATATAAATCTACTTACATTCTAAAAATTCTATTTCGAGAATCAGAATAGTCATAATTGTCCATGCTTCAACAAACTCTTTATCCTGGTGATCATGTGCGTAGATTATAGAACCACAATGAAAAAGAAAGAATAAATCTCATAAAGTACATTAGTTAAAACTTTTCAGCACAGACTGAGTTTATATAGTAAATTGCCCATAATATTTAAATAAATAAAACATCTAACAACAATTATCAGGTCAAATAAAAGCTTCCAGATGGAGTAACTAACAAGATCATTTCCCCATAAAATAAGGGGTTGATGATTTTATTCAGAACAGTAGTAAAAGCTACTCAATTAGACTGTACAACTCGGAGAGCTCAACAACATCAAAATGTTACTTGATCAGTAACGTATTGTGTCTCATAATTGGAAATACAATTTGACTTTTATTCAAGTAACAGAAGTGTACACTGTCTTCTTTACTTTTTCTACATGAAAATAATGTACAAATAGAATGGAACTTACATTCTGAGGAGAACTCTTTAAATGGTTTTTCACTCGTTCTTAATCTCTTCATCCAAGTACAATAAACATATGTTAATCGAACCACTCTTGACACTTTTTACAATATCATATAAATGAATAAGTTGCTTATTAAAGCCATTAGTCCCTTTGATAAATTTCGATGGTGTAATAAGAAGACGAAGATTATCAAAACGATGTGATAGGTTAGCGCAATACATTTCGAACAATGTGATCACACATACACTTGTTAAGAGCATTTATATATAAAAATAAAAGGACGACTAGACTAGAAATTAGGGAGGGGTAAGAGGAGACAAGGACAATTTGACACTTAATCACTCTGGATAATAAGCTAATATTACCAGAGTAGTCACAATTGATTGATCACTGGGTGATGATCAATGTAATGCGTGTCAAGTCCTTCTTACTGCTGATCAAATGCTACCGATAAAGTTGCACTGTGGCCACTTGTCTAGGTGGCTTGACACTGCGTTCACTATGTTGAGATGAGATGGTGGTTGGAGGTGGTCAACAGGACTTGACACGCATGACATTGATCACCACTCAGTGATCAATCAATTGTGATTACATCTCAGTCCTACAGGAGGTCGGTCGCGGCCCGGACAGCTCAGTGGAAACGTCTCTGACTGTGAAGTTGAGTGACACGGGATCGAATCCGTCGGGGAGCACCAGTTAACTTAAGATTACAGGTTCACCTTTCTGACGAGTGCCAAGTAACCCGAAACCCGGGTTAAGGGTTTCTTGTTGACCACCTCCAACCACTATCTTATTACCAGGGCAGATTTAAGGTGAGAAAAAACTGTTCTCGAATACACAAAGGAGGTTTGAATTTTCGTATGGCTAAGGCTTCAATAAACCTTAGTATACGCGTTTTTTACACTTTTATACAACACCACAAAAGCCCAGTTAAGATCAATCATATGGCCTGTTTCGATGATATGTTTGGCAATAGAGGCTGATGGATGTTTATCCTCTACTCTTATCGGGTCATTTGATTTTATTTGTTTCTGCAAGCATTTTGGTGCATGTTCGCACACCCTAGCTTTCAGATCACAATTGCTCTTTCCTATGTATGTTTGACCACACACACATTTAAATTGGTGAACACAGTGGGATGTGAAACAATGTTTTCATGTCTTTTATGTTTTGAATGAAGCCTGAACCTCGTTCTTACTTTGATAATGACCTTCGTTGCACAATACGTTTTGTTGATGACTGATTTAAGTCTTTGCTTCAATAAAAAGCTATTTGAATCACCTCTAAATGGTAAGGTGATGTAAAGAGGCTTTTTTTCCACATACGTCTGATGATCTTTGTCTTCTCATTACAATATCGAAAGTTGCTTATTAGCTTTAAAATGGATAAGTTATTTCGTGATATAAACAGATTATCAGAAGGGGTTTTGTGGATATTTAGTATTTTCATAGTTAAATGCGTGAGTCAATTGAAGCTAGATCACCATGGAAAACCTGGAAGCACTGAATGATCGTTTCGTGCTATTAGGGGCTCCTTAGCAGTGCGCATACACAATCCCGCACTCGCGAGATTCAAACCCAGGACCTACCAGTCTCGAGCCAGAGAACTTAACCGATAGACCACTAAGCCGGCTGGCATCCAACGATGTTAATGTCTAACTTCAACCAATCCATGATGTTTGAGCAACCGTTCACCAATTAATAGTTAATCAAACAGTACAGAAATTCTGTAGAAATCGTTCGTCAAAGTATTACTTAAGTACACAACTATTAAAAACTAGAGGGTAGTAGGAATGGAAACATTTATCCCCTGATCTCTGTTTTACATTGATTACATTAATATCTAATTGAAAGAAATCATTTTGTAAAGTGATTATTTATGTAGATTAAGAAACGATAATGAGTATTGAACTGATTGATGCACAATCGTTTAGAAAGAGAATTTATGTTATTTTTTTAGGAAAATAAATAATTTAATCATATTAAAAAGGGTTTTTCCTAATTAGTAACAAAGATCAATTCATAATGATTAGATTATAATCAGAAGAGGTTTTATGGAGATTTCAGTATT